TTTTTAGAAACAAAAGGGATGGTCAGCAAATACATTTTTTGTTAATTTATTAAGTAATATAACATTCTGTCAATTGGACAATGTTGTAGTGAAGTAAGACCACATTCACACTATATATACAGAAAAATATAAAATAAACCGAAGCAAAATAACTAATAAATAATAATAAAAAAGTATACACAAAAAATAAAAATAAAATGACTTAAAGGTCAATTAAATTAAAAAAAAAAAAGACAGACTAAACAATAGTGTATATCTCCCTATTAAATAAAAATGTTTTTGGTGACTCATATTTTATTTTATCTTTGTATTAGGAGAGTAGGAGATAACAGGAGCTCAATTTTTTTAATTAAATTATATTAAATTTTTTTTTTAAACAAATTATACAGCTGTTCATATAATTATAAATGTGTTAATCACCTGTTACCATCTACTCTCCTAATACAAAAAAAAATTTTAGAATACAAATTTGTACGGGAAATGTTAACCATCTGGAGGTGGTAATTTGAATTTACCTAGGTGACTCCAGTTATTTTTCGATCTAGACATTTCTCCTTGAATACAATGTATTAATTATTACACTATATATAATGTTATTTATATTATACTATAAATATAATAAATGTAAATATAATAATATATATATAATAATATTACATAATTATAATATAATAAAATATTATTGTGCTAAAGCCGCTGGTGCTAAAGCCAGTGGAGAAAATCTCAAATAAAAAACATTTTTTTTATTTAATAATATAAGAAAAATATACAGGGTGTTTCAGGGTTATGCGGCCAAACTGCAAAAATAAACTAAGGACCTCAAACAAGAAAAAAAATGTCCTCCTATATCATTTCTAACGCTTTGTTTAAGAGATATTCACACTTGAATATTTTCTTTGTTATGAATTATTTACGTTATATGAAATAAATAAAACCTTGAATAATCCACTACAACTGAGAAGGAACATATGGCTTCAATTAGATGGTTTTTCTGCACATTACGGAAGAGGTCCACAACAATGGTAATTATTCCAATCAATGGATTGCCCGTGCAGGACCAGTGGCTTGGAATGCACGCTCACCAGACCTGACACCACTAGATTTCTTTGGGGATGATATTAAACAAAAAGTCTATTCAAAAATTCAATGACCTTAATTCCTCACGAAGAAGGATAATTGAATCTTGTGAAACATTAACACATATCCAGTCCCGTTCTGCCTCTGCCGCTGTTGAAGAAGCATTAAGAAGCCGAGCCTGTCTTAATGATTAAAGAAATTACTTTGAAAAACAATAAAATGAATTTAATGTTTACGTTTTATTAATAAAGTAGATAACAAATAAATAAGTTAATTTACTTAACATACCGTAAATAATTCATAAGAACGAAAATATTTAGGTGTGAATGTGTCCTAAACAAAGCGTTTACGGATATACCTTCATAGGATTTTTTTTTCTTGTTTAGAGGTCCTAAATTCATATTTTTTGTTTGGCCACTTAATCCTGAAACACCCTTTATATACTTTTATTTTTTTTTGTTAATACTAAAATATTTCAGTTTTACTTATTACTGTATAATATTACCTACGAATTCGACAATACCTGGTCCCTTAGGCCCTGTGAGTCATGCTTTGATGACGGTTGAGTGAATGCAGGAGGTAACGCCCAGGTTCACCGCAAGTGAAATATTTACAACTGTCTCCATTAGCCAGCCTCTCTTCTTGTAATTATAACGAGACCGCAAAACTATAATTTCTATCAAATGGAAAGCTCAATTATAAACATACATATTCGAGTAATTAGTGTTCTCTCAAGTTACTGTTGATAAGTACATTAAAATGATTTGTGTTTTTGGACATCAACACAAACTAAACATCTGTAAGAACTACGTATTCCATTTTTAGGCGTTTGTCCCAGCTCTTGTGAATATAAACGAGTAGCTGATTCTAAAACCGAAGTAACAATTTACGATACATAAGATGAGCTAATAGTCCGATAGCCTGTGCAAAAAATCGTCGTTATTTAAAGAAAAGTTTGAAAGCGTTTTTTTTTTTTTTTTTTATATTCATGACATTTATATTTAAGAAATGAGAGTCTGCCAGTCGGATCATACTCCATGAAAACATGGTTGAGTTAAAGAATATTAGGCCAGTAATTTGAGGAACAAAACGGGAAGTTTATTGCGAAAAATGTGTGAAAATATGTATTTTTTAAACTTAAATTTGTGGATTTAAACATGTAAAAAACGAAATCACTAACGCGGGCCACAAAGGAAAAATTTCCTACCGCCAAAAAATCCAGATTTTTTCGATCATTTTTTGTTTTTCACCTATAACACCTAAATGGTTTATCGAAGTGCAAAATACACTTTGTAAGAAATTAAAGTACGTTAAATTGTGTCTCGAATGAATATCTAAACTCTTAATCATTGAGTTAAGCGGTATAGTCGGTAACAAAGGTCAACAAACGCTGATTTAAAAAAAAAATGTCGAAAACTGAAGCAAATTATTAAAAATTGCTCTGTAGCTTGGAAATAAGTTTCCTAAAAGAAAAAAACTAAGAATAATAGGTTTTTTATGTCCTCTTCTTCATCGCATTTTAGGTTATGCGGGGCTTTCCCGGACCAAAGGGTGAAGGTGGAGCATTAATGCCAGAGTTAAAAGCTCCCCCATGGCACCGAGGCACAAACTCAGTATTTTTTATCACAATATCTTTTATACAGGTTGCCTGGCAACGCGCGGTGCTATGCACACGCTTTAGTCTGCTAGGCCATCCATTCATCTTAGATTAGAAGCTGTAAAGCATTAAATTCGTCGTCCACTGAGTACACGGGTACGGCACCCATGGATCATCAGAAAATCTTGTATGAAAGATCGACTCCTACTAATCTTGCTGGAACTTACCAAGTATCTTTCGAATCGTTTGCTCCATACCTCAGAAGAGATAATCCAACTTGTGATCCATCGATTTCTGATCTCATCTGATAGCGACATAAAATTACATATTAACAAACTTAATACTGTATGAATGAAAAAATCTAAACTACAAAGCCATGAGTCTCAACATGCAGATGAATTGTTATTGTTTCGTCAATTCAGGCATCATCTTAACAGAAAAAGAAGTATTTGGATGATTTCGTAAGAAGTTAACGATGAAGAATATATATATATAAACTTAACTATATAATTGGGAATAAGGTCATTTAATTATTATTTAATAAACTATTGAATGTTCATTTCTTCTGTTTATTGACGTTTCGATCCCCGTATTTTCTTTTTATTAGTCAACCATGGGATCCACTTCAAAGCTAGAATTTTAAAAAATAGAGCTTCGATCAGGCCAGGGACACACCGACAATCTCAGCACCGTCCACTGGAGTAGCTTAATATATGTGCTAGTGGACGGTGCTGAGATTGTCGGTGTGTCCCTGGCCTGATCGAAGCTCTATTTTTTAAAATTCTAGCTTTGAAGAGAATCCCATGGTTGACTAATAAAAAGAAAATACCGGGATCGAAACCGAAATTAATACTCAAAGGTCGATAAAGGAAAAGTTGTAAATATATATATATATATATTTTTTTTTTTTTTTTTTCCTGCATATGGGTGATCTTGTTTTCTGTCCTGATAATTGCAAGTTACCTATTCCTGAAATATAATCAGGAGAAATTAAAAAATAAATAAAATGAAAAAATAAAAACACCTGTACCGCCTAGTTTTTTTTCGGTTGGACTAAGCATTGTGCGGGTCACATCATCGTATGTTAAATTGTTTGGGGGGAAAGCCAAAGCTATATTTTCCGGGCCATTTAACATTCTGTTTCTGGAAAGGAACCGTTTGAGGAAGCTAAATTTAGAGATAGTGACCTGGATTGCTACGTGGAATATATCCCTAGCCTACAGAGCCAATAGAAAATATGGTCATCACCACGCAAAGTAACTACAATTCATCCTCTGCAACCCTCCCAGAGATAAAGTAAAATATTAAAAAAATTGTGGACAACGTTAAAAACATTTAGGAAAAATACTAGTCTTTAGATATTATTTCTCGAAGGTGTTTTTTGTAAGAACGCGGTATCTTCGTCAATTCTTCATCAAATCCAATGATATGATCAATCAATAATAAAAATAAAGTTAAAAATAAAATAAAATGTACATAAAGTAAAATAAGCATCTTAGACACAAGCATACCTCTATTCACTATTTCGTAAGAATTCACTTTGTTAGTACTAAAACATAGTTGATAAACAAAAAAAACAAACAAAAAAAATTTAATTAATTAAAAGAGAAAATATGAGAAATATTTTTTTTTGTATTGAATGGAGAATAAACGTACTCAAAAAACCTGAACGGAATTAACACAGAAAAAATATGGAAAGCTAAAATTGTTTCAGCTTCTCAAACAAAACATATTCAGTCTACGGAAATGTCATCGGATGGTGAGAGTACGTAGTGTGATCTATCAAATCTTTTTTTTTTTTTGGTCGTGAAATCCTTAATATGGTATTATATGTTTCTATAATAAGATAAGTTGAACTAATGTTTTGTAATTTTGAACTCCTAAAAGCTAAATAGGTTCATCTAGAAAACCCGATAATAAGAAAACTCTACCTAAAGGAGTGGTGTAAATTGGAGCTAACGTGACAAAAAATGTGATCGCATTCTCAAGCGCTGGCGATCTAGTTTTCCTCATTTGAAGTCTAAAAATGTATATTAAATAAATTAGTTGTTAATTTATAAATTTTTAAGGTGTGTTATTTATTCATAAATGTCAAGGCAAGTGAGACTATACAGAACGACCGGATTAGTAAAACTAATTAGTCTAAAACGGAATCTAATCTATCAGTTGGGATTTGCGTGTCCGTCGGCAATACTCTTCCGTTCCACATGTCCATGCTGAAAATATCACCATTTTTCATTAAAATAAAAAAAAAAAGAAATAATATATTGAAAATTTGGATTTGTAAATCTGAGTTTAATTTTGATTTTTGTGTTTCAGCGGGCCAATGAGGCAAGTGACACATTTCTCACTTCTCCAGCTACCCCGGGTTCAGGTTGCGTCTGTATTTTCAAAATGTGAGTCTTCGTCCCGAATTAGCTTTAAGAGCATGTTAGTCAAATTTTTTATTTTCTCTTTCTATCATCTGTCTAGTCCCCGTATGTTAGAGATTTTTTCCTGCATCTCAATACTTATTCTCAATACTCAATAAATATTGAAAAGAAACGGATTAAGAATATTGGTTTATTTTTTTTTTAACAGAGAAAGATTTTTTTCTAATAACTTCTAAGCTTTTACAAACTATTTACTTTCAGGGATGCTCAGAAAATGGTTGCATAGCCCCATTAACAATTTTCATTGTTTTAAATGTTTGAGAAAAGCATATATTTACAAGTTATGAATTTTTTTGAGTTAAAGAAATTCGTACTTAATAATAAAATACATGGCTAATTTCTTGTAAAATATTTTGAGGAATTAATGATATTTGAGGAATAAATTCATAACATTAGGCGAAAATCATGCGGTGAATAAATTGTTTATGGTTATAGTCTTTGTTTATTTACATACGGACGGCATTTAGCATATATCTGTCCAAACTGATAAGATTATCTGTAGAAAAACAATACAAACAAGTTTTTGAATAGTGCTAACTATTTTAATAGCAAAGAACTATCACTTCCATTAGGCGTCATAAATGAAAAATAGGGGGATTGGGGTAGCTCAGTGGTAGTGTGCTGAGGTCCAATCTTCAAGGTCCTAGGTTGGAATCCCGGCAGATGGAAGAAAAATTATTTATTCTGTTTCATCTGGGATCAAGAATCGCTCCAGGGATACACCCAGCCTCTACAAAGTGGCTACCCTTAATTAAAATAATTGATTTAGCGAGAAAACCTGAAGCTTGGGTATGATCTCGGTCAAATCACCTCCTTGCACAACCATATATCAAGAAATTGTACTTTCCCTAAATATTGCTGGATCCAAGGCTTTTCTTGGGTTGGAGTAGCACAGGTATATAATTTTTTAATGAAAAATCGAAATTGGAAAAATAAATAAATGATAAATATGTAAATAAAAAAATAAATAAATAAATTGGTAATTAAATGAGAAGTTCCTATTTACATAAAAATCATCAGCAACATTTTTGGGTAGATATTTCATTTAAGTGATTTCAACAATTTATTTAGAATTTTCTATTTCGATTCAATCAATATAACATATATTTTAAATAATTTCTCTTTTACAAGATTTAGTGATTTTTCTTCTATATATTTTTTACCTTTAATAGGATCATATATTTTCTTACCTTAAATTTGTTTTTTTTTCATATTTTTCTTTCTATGTCTTCTTCCAATTCTATGTAGGCTCAATAATTAATATAATCTAGTCGAGGGCATCAATTGCTACATGTGCCATCTCGATCATATGTTCCTAATTTAGGACTAGGCCTAATGTAGCTATCAATATGGCCCAGCCCATGCTGCCTAGATCAGCAACACGCCATATAAATGAGATACCATTTGTCATAGAATGACCAATCTTCATTCCGAGACATCATTACTTTACACATTCTGTTGTCCCCTAAAAGTCATGTTGATAATTTATTTCAAATTAATTCTGACAAACATTTTCAGAAATTGTATACTGATTAATCAATTGGCCGAAACCAAAATTGCATCAAAATAAATTTGTGCCTTTATATTTTTTTTAGAGAACATTATTACTTTTAGCAAATAAAAAGTATGCAGTTTTTTATGTATACACGAATTTTACTTTATCACTATTTTACTTTATATTATTTTTACTTTTGAATGGTTTTAACTTTACTACAGTAACTGCTCTAGGCCATTTTTATTTATTTTAGATCGTGATTATTAATAATATATTGGATGCATTTAGTAATTATTTTATTATTATTATATAATTTTAGTAATATATGTCTCATTATTTCAAGACATTTTATTTCGATATCCCGTGCAAAAGAATTGACATTACCTGATGAAAATTTTGAAAGCATTTCATTGAATATGTCAAAAAAATGAGTATTGCAGTCGAAAAATGTAATCTGAAAAAATGGCGGATGATTTAAAGAATATTTTTCAGTAACTTGAAGAACGAAACGGGTAACTTATTGCGTAGAATATGGATTTTCTTTTTCACTTATATACATATGTCTTTACATGCAATACAACATGAAAAACACAAATTGCTAACGCTGGGCACTGACAGATAACTTTTTACAGCAAAAAAAACAACAGATTTTTTCAATATTTTTTTTCACCCATAACCCATAAACGGTCCATTGGAGCAAAAAACTTCAGTCTTTAAGAAATTAAAGAATGTTAAATTGTTCGTCGAAAGAGTACCTAAACTTAATAATTTGTTTAAGATATATTGTCGTAAACAACTGCCAACGAAAACTGATTTATATCTAATTTAACTAAAACTGATTATTAGAGTGCTACCAGTGGGTAGTTTCTCAACAAGCGTGTTTCATGTAATAATATTTCTCTGTACAAATTTACTTGATGTATTGATACTAATACAGTTGTAAATATCATAATAAAAGTTTAAAAAAAAAAAAAAAAAAAAAAACTAAAACTGAGACATATTGCTATAAATATTTACTATAAGCATCCTGTTTCGATTTTCAAGTTACTGGCCTAATATTATTAAAATTGACCCCCATTTTTTTTTAGGAAGTATGCTCCTACTGGCAGATTTTTTTTATATAAATGTTATGAATATTTAAAAAAAAAAATCTACAAATAATGTTTTTGTTGCATGGGCTATCGGACTATTCGTTAAGACCAGATGGTTCCAAAGTACTTGGACATTGAGACCTCCACACAGTCCCTCGTGCAATGAAAAAATATCGATATATCGAGTTTTTAAAGCATTGAAAGTCAAACATCGATTTTAAAAAAATTTATTTCATGTAATAGTAATTTATGTAATTTTAAAAATCGAAATATTAACATATTGTACAGGCTCGCCAGCAATTATATTTATTTTTCTTAAAATCTAGCAAATATCATAGTATACAATGAACTTAATTAAAATTTTCTAAAAGCTGATCAAAACCTAGATGCAAGACCTAAATGTGTGACCTTAGTATGTGAAAGTTCGAATCTGAATTACGAAAGTCTGTTGTTATTTTAAGTAAAATGAGCCTTCTCTAACAAATTAACAATTTGAAAAATACTAAGCGAGACCATCAGTAGTAATTATTAATAATGCAAAACATTATTATTATTTTTTTTTTTGGTTGTAAATAATTTATTTGCGCCTGTCAACTTTGTGTCAACAATCAGCAAATGTGCTCGAAATGCAAGATATATATGACATGTCAGGTATAGAGAAGGAAAATACTCAGTATCACCTCTTCCTTGTCTTTTTTCAATTACTTAGGTTGTTTAAGGAAGGATGTCTCCCACCCAACGCCGTTTTAGTCTCCTCCTCATGTTTTGTGGTATCTCAGCTGTTGCTCTTATTAATCTATTGTGATGCCCGTTTGAATTAGTATGAAATCGTTGGCAAAGGGTCGTTATATGTTGGTCAACTGTTGGAAGGTGGAGGTCAGTATGTAGAGTTTTGTTAGTCACGTGCCATGGTACTTTTGTTATGAGTCGCAATAATTTTGATCGGAAGGTTTGACGTTTTTATAGGTGGGTCTTTTTAGCGATACCGAATATGTGTGATAAGTATGTCCATAGGTGTTTAACAATCAGCAATTAAAATTATGTGTATATCACGTTATAATTAATAAAAGTTATTTGTTTTTAAAAACGTCTTTTTTTTTCAACCCACAAATAACCAGAAATCTCTTTTTCTCTGTTAAAATTCAGAAACATCCAACATATTTCTTATATTAAATGTGATATAATAAAAAGGGAAGACCACAGAAAGTTGTCAATAATTTTTGTTTGTGATTTGATACCAAAATAATATTAGAAAAACTGTTACATTTTTTTTTTTTTAATAGAATCTTTTTTGGTAAGTATGTATATGTATTCAGGTTTTGTCTCAGTTTCAGTTTTGAAGATTTAGAAAAAAGAGGGTTAAGTCGTTTGTTAAGTGTTTTACGTTTGATTTTTACATGCGGGCTCCATGTCTTCCTTATTTCTAAGGATAGTATATCGTAAAGTAACGTGTCCGTTTGAGGAATTTGATTGTTGTCAATATAAACTGGAGGGCAGGTGTTTCTAAAAGTAAATGATATATGTTTGGATTTGTCGAGATTAAGGCGAATTTTCCATAGTTTGAACCAATATTGTCATTTAAGTAAGTTATATTGTAGATTTAATAATGTGTATAAATAAATAACCTCTATTTTTTTCATTTATCGTATAATGGCGTTATTTGGTAAAAATACAACCTTTCTTTTTTTAATAAGTACCTTTTATAACAATTTTAATATGATTTATGGTTGTTTGAGATGAGAAAATATCGCATAGGACATACACCCCGCTATCTAATATAGGATATTTTATCATTTTCTGATTATTTTTTTAGTTAATCCTGTATTAGCAGTGCCATTGGTTGTTCTCATAATCTCTGGTCTCTGATACACCCCATAAATCAGGAGATCTCCTGTATCCTGCGGAAATTCGAAAAGAAAATTAAATTATATCACACATTATTTTTTTTATTTAAAATTTTCCAAACTGATGTTCTTAAATATCGAATTGAGTTTTAAAAAAACACCCTTCGTTCTTTTTAAATCACAATAAATATTTATTGACTTAAGATTTTTTTTTACAAAATAAATTTATATTTATAGCAACCAACATTAAATAAGTCGGATAAGACTTTTTTTCATATCTCCGTATTGTACCGTAGATATATCATTTATTTAAAGTACTTTCCTTATTCGAACCTGACCCTGAGAAATAATTTAAGCTGAGAGTTGAGGAAGTTAGGAATTTTTATTACTCACGCTGAAGTTTATTCAACAATTAATTAATTCTAATTTTGATTTAACAAAGAAATATAAAAATAAATCTGCTTTGAGAAAATATAAATTATAAGAATTTCAATTATAAAAGTTAAAGTTATTTTCGTTTGAAATTGGTTCGAA